ATGATCCTTCACAGGATAGTTGGGCACCTGAACGCGGCATGGGTAATGCCCGTCATCCTCCCTAGGATGACCTTGTCAAAAACGGGTGTTTCTTCTACCAACTAGATTTGATGGGGGGAAGTGTGAGAGGACGTCCCCGTTATTAAAAATTTTCATTTATCTTATTCCCCTTATCCTCTTTTTAAAATCTCATATGGTTTCTATTTTCAGAAGCCATCTATTTATCTCTTATTTTTCATTTTTTTTCACCGACATCATTACTGTATAGCCAACAACACCAACAGTGGTGTATACATCCCCAGAGATACGGACAGACAGAGTGCATCAACCAGATTTTTGATCAACTTTGCGAGCAGCGTGTAAGGACGATATCTCCAAGTGGGATGCAAACCTGCCGGTTCTTGAGTTTGCATATAAGAGAAACTTGGGCAGGGTCCTAGAGGTCCATGTACAGGCCGTGAAAAACGTCCCTGATGTGATAGTTCTTTTGATTATATTTTTCTTTATCTTTTTTTTTTTTTTTTCATCAGTCGACGACACTAGCAACATCTCGTCGTCGTTGTCCTGAAGCTTCACGCCGCGGTCTTTCAGCTAGCCAATAGATAACACGTTTTCCTGTACACTCAGGACGTACAGTTTGTTGGAGATGAGGACCTGCTTCTCGGCATACCCTTGCACCGCGACGGTGCCACAACCTTAGATGGCATGAATCACCCCATTGAAGCCACACACATGACTGACATCGCCTCCCAGCTTTATCCCGATGAAGGCCTCATTCGTTCCCATCAGGTGATCGGAGCAACCGCTGTCAAGGAGGACGACAGTGGAATTAGCCTGCACGGTGGCAGCGACAGCCTGAAAGTTCTCCTCTACTTCTGGCGCCACAGAGATGGTCGTCTCTACCATGCTGACCATCGAGCATGCGGCGCTTGCGTAGTTGCGACCATTGCCATCGGATGAGTCGGTGTCCATCGTCAACGGCGTCTTTGATGCATGCTTCTCCTTGCGCAGCTGGTCTTATCGACGACGATGCCCATCACTGGAATTCCCGCGGCCGGTGGGTTTTGTCTTCCAACAATTTTACTTGATGGTAGTACTTAGACAAAGGCCGGTGTAGTGAGGATTGGATAAAAAAGCGGGTTCATACGCTTGTTTGTGACAAGTTCATGCGCTTTAAAACGGCTTTACCATCTGACAAGAACCGCCATTTTTTTCCTGTAATGATTTTTTAATAGGACCCTGTGGTTCTATATCAGACGGTACAGTCTGGTAAAAGAAGTTTCAATATTGGTATGCTCTAGTAATCATAACAAGGATTTTGTGTATGAGACCCCAAAGATTATGCAAACAATGTGAAATGAAGATTGTATTGGGAATGTTTCAGGATGAACAGTAATCCATCCTGTAAGGGCGCGTAACCATTTTGTCCCTGACGGTTCGTTTATCGGACTGTCCGTTCGAAAAAGAGGATACCAGTTTCGCGAATATTCGTCTAGAAATTCGCGCAGAACCGTGCGACTTCGCTAGCAGATCGAAACCGAGTGGAACTTTTTTACCAAAAGGGACTTCGAACGGTTCCGTTTCGTCAGAAACGGACTGTCCGAACCAGAAGGGTTGTGGTTGGCGCGCGAATCTCGCTGACTTGGCGGGAGCGAGCGAAACACAGCGCGTCATGTAAATCCTGGCGAAATGTGTGACTCGACAACATTGGGACGAAATTGAACCGTCCGTTTGCACAGGAGCACAACGTGTGAAAATGTGTTGAAATAGCTGCAAACGAACCGACCATTCCACCATTCTCTCAGCAGCCCCCCAAGAAAACCATTCTCTAGCGTTGGGGACACCTCCCAACCTCAGCCCACCACTGACGGGAACATCAGCACTGACGATGTTTGCATTTCGAAGTTTGAATTTGAGTCATAGTGTTTGCTGGCGAAAATCGCGAATTTTTTCAGTGTGCGTAACGGAGTAGTATTTCGTGCAGTTTCAAACGGCAAATAGGTTCCATCATACGGTTCGATTGTTGTGAGACTGTTTCGTTAAACGGACGGTTCCGTATTGGAAACGGAACCGTCCATTTAACGAGCGTTTGTTTTGAAACGCAACTTCAAGAAAAAGCAAAATGGTTACGCGCCCTAAATAGGGTATTTCGCCTTTCAAGAGAGTCAACGAAAGTTTTAGGTAGGGGTCACGGTCATCGCGCGAAGCCAGTAGGTCTAGGCTCACCGCCACCGCGGAGCGCGCGAGTCACTGCGATATCGATACGCGAAGCGCTAAAATCAGACTCACCGACTTTCCTCCCTCATCCGGAGCGCCTTCCACTGTCGTCCTCCGGCGTGTCGCCAAGCGAGGCCAGTGTTGCTGCGACCGTGGCGCCGCGCCGCGCTGTCGCCGAAAAAATATCAATAAGCGGCATCGCTGGTATTGCCCAACGCCGCGATGATACTGCCGACGCGCACGTGCCGTTTGACACGGAGAAAACACATCCAAGTGGCGGCGG